ATTTGTGAGCATTGAGTTATTGGAGTTAAGGAGTGTTGACTGTTGAGCTGGAAAAATTCAGCCATTTGGTAGAGCTGGTTTGCTTGTAAAATATATGGGAGTGTTTTGTTTTTATTTTGGATAAATTGTTATGATTGGTTAATTAATTTAAATGTAAATACTCTATTGTGTCCTTTAGATTGGCTTGACATGGAGGAGTCTACAGATTTGTTTAATGAGGCAACAGAAACAGGCCGTAATGTAGCCGTAGGTCAACCTCCTTCTAGTGGTAGTATTATTTGTCCAAAAAGATGTAAAGTATCAGATGTTTGGGGTCAATTTACAACATATATGGAAGAAAATGGGAATGTGAGGGCAAGGTGTTTGATTTGTAGTAAGTCTTATGCATATGGTAGTTTCACTCATGGGACTAAGAATTTGAGGCACCATATGGAAGGTTGTCCTAAACGTACCATTAGTAGTGTAGATCAAATGATGATGAATTGTGATACTAAATTGAGACGTTTGAGGATTTCTCAAGAAATTTATTGTGAGAAGATGGCAATAGGAATCATAAAACATAATTACCCATATTCAATAATAGAGCATGAAGGAATTAGGGATGTCCACATGTATTTGAATCATGAAGTTAAGCCTTATACTAGGAACACCGCTAAGGCGGATTGCTTAAAGATATATTATAGGGAGACAGAAAAGATTAAGCTTGCTTTAGAAAAGGGTTCCTTGACTTCTGATATTTGGAGTTCTTGTACTATTGATGTGTATATTTCTTTAACGGCTCACTATGTTGATGAGAATTGGGAGTTGCAAAGTAGAATTCTTAATTTTTGCCATATTCCTCCTCCACACTCAGGGGCTCTTTTGTCAGAAATAGTGTATGATTTCTTAAAAGATTGGGGGATTGAAAAGAAAGTCTTCTCTCTTACATTAGACAATGCAAGTAATAATGATAAGATGAAAGACATTTTAAGGAGTCAACTTTGTATGCAAAATGTTTTATTATGTGGTGGTTCTTTTTTTCATGTGCGATGTTGTGCACATATCTTGAATCTCATAGTCCAAGAAGGGTTAAAGGTTAGTAGCGTAGCTTTACATAAGATTCGTGAAAGTGTGAAATATGTTAAAGGAAGTAAGGCTAAAAGAATCAAGTTTGGAGAACTTGTTAAAAAAATTGGTGTGATAAGCTCAAAAGGATTGCGAATGGATGTTGCCACAAGATGGAATTCCACTTATTTAATGCTTGGAAGTGCGTTAATATAACGTCGTGTGTTTGTTTATTTGTGACTAATAGATCCCAATTATAAAAGTTGTCCTTCAGATGAAGAATGGGAGAGGGGGGAGTGAGGATTTGCAAGTTCTTGCAACCATTTTATGACATCACTGCTCTTTTTTCGATTCCCAATACCCCACAGCAAACTTGTACCTCAGAAATGTGTGAAGAGTCAAGTGCGTTTATACGAAGAGATGGAAAATGAGGATGAAGTTGTTAGTACCATGGCAAGTCAAAGGAAAGTAAAGTTTGACAAATATTGGGATTCTTATAGTGTTGTGTTAGCAATTGCAGCAATTCTGGACCCACGTTTCAAGTTTGAGTTTGTTGAGTTTTGTTACAAAAAAAAAGTTGATGGCCCAATAGTTGCATCAAGAAAGTTGGAGTTGGTCAAGTAGGAGTTGTATAAGCTTTTTGCTGCTTATAAGGGTCTAAGTTGCAATGACGTTCCCGACGATCCTTCGGTACAGACTAGTAGTCCTAATATCCTTGTAGATGATATCTGTGTAAGTCACTACTCCCTAAATATTTTTATATTCTTGTGATTAATAAGGTTTTGTTTATTTTGTAATTTTGCTTTATTAAATTTAAATATTTAAAAGGTGCAGGAATTTGACTATTACAAGAGTGACTTTAGTGCTACTAAGAAGTCCGAATTGGATACTTATTTGGGAGAGGCAGTTTGATCGCATCAAATTTTGCAATCTGGATATCCTGGACCATTAGAAGAAAAATAGTGATCGATACCCGATACTTTCCATGATGACCCGTGATGTGATGAGTATACTAATAACAACTGTTGCTTTGGAGTTCAGTTTCAGTGTTGGTAGCAAAGTGCTCAATAAATATCAAAGTTCACTTTTACCGAAGAATGCAAAGTCTTTGATATGCACAAGGACATGGATTTTTGGATATGAAGTTAAATGTAACATTTTAACTTATATTTCACATGTTTTAATATTTTAGTTTATTAATATATTACAATAATTAACTTATATTTTGTTAATTGTAGAAGATAAAATTGATGATGCTCAGCTTATTGTGCCGTTAAGCCAAGTGCCAGCGGAGAAAGAGATCACATAATCAAAGGCGGCTTCTAACACCGTCAATGTGTAATAGACTTTGTTTGTTTAGTGTGTTTGGTTGAATAATTTTATATGTTTAATTGTTTAGTGTTTACTATGTATGTATGTTGAATGTTGAACAATTTTATATATTTAGTGTTGACTAATTAGTAATTACTATATATATTTAGTGTTTGCTAATTCTATATGTGTAGTGTTTACCAATTAATAATTACAATGTATGTTTAGTGTTTAGTGTTTACTTATTCTGTATGGTGAAGTTTTATATAAATATGAAAAATATTAATAATGAATTAATGATGTTTGGTGAAATCTAATCAAATTTGATTTAATCATCTATTTATTTAATATAATTAACCAAGTTATTCAAGCTTAACAAAAGAATTTTATACTAAGTTTTTAAATCAATACAATTTTCATCTTAGAATTTGAATAACAAAAAATAGTGAAAAAATAACAAAAACTTGAAAATTTTTTTATAGAAAATGCCATTATATACGGATGACCCATGGGTTGACTCGTATTACGTACAGAGGGGTACGGGTCATGCATGACCTGTAAAAAAAATTGACCACTGGACCTATGCCCGTTTCACCTATGGCTACCTGGCCCGTGCCCGCTTGGTCTGCCCATTTGCCAGGTCTAAAATTGCATCGAAAGAGAGGCAAAGTCCGGTGTTGAAGGAAGCATCAGGATTCAATAATTTTCCCATAGCACGGTAATCAATAATGTTTTAATAAATAGACTTAAATATTTGTCAAACCAGAAAATGACCATATGTTAAAATATATATATATATATTACAGGTGGTCCTTGAAATCAATAAGAAATGGTTTTCAACACGTGGTATCATTATTTTTTTTATGAAACACGTGGTACCATTATTGAGGAGCAGTAAACGATACCAAAATTCAACGTAATTTTATATCCAGATTTTCTGTCTGCCACTTGCATTAGATGTGCCCTCTATTGATTAATAAATAAAGAGCAAACGACATGTTCCCACCTAAAGTTTAGCGAAATACCAAGTTTTTATCACTAGTTTCATTTATTCCAGATATCCACCTTTTAAGTAACAGAACAATGTTTAAAATAATGTTTCAAGGGTGAAGTTGTCATTTTGCACTTCCTGTCCTAATTGCCCTGAATTTTTTCTCTCAACTAGCCACCACTGGGCTCACCTGCCGGCCGATTTGAGCTGAATCTAGCCGGATTCTTTGCCAAAACCGACAGAATTCATCACCCCAAACCCGATTGCATAGCCTTCTTGCCTCATCGATCGTATTTTTGGCCGGATTTGGCCCTTTTTCGCGAATTTTCCCAGCCGCGAGCATTCCCGTCTCCGGTTAGATTTGGGCGGAATCTGGTGTTGTTGGTGTTCCCCGTCACCACCAAAAGAACCCCTGGCGTCCCACCATCAAAACCCCACCCTTTTACTCCGCACTGCACACGCTGTTCTCCAGCCACAGCAACGGCGTCATGCAACCGTTCTTTGCCGGATTCTGGCCGATTTGGGTGGCCAAGACCCCTCCCACCACCACCCCCCAACTCAGCGGCTTCTTCCCTACAAAACCCCCATCCTCTCCGACCACGACAGCCACTGTTCATAGTCCACCACTCAACCTAGGGTTTTTGCGTTTTGTTGAAATTTGTTGTTGAATGTTGGATTTTTGATGAAATTGAAGCTTGGGTATCGGTTGATTGATTATTTGGAGTGTTTTTGCTTTGATTCTGGTCGAAGAACCCAACCAACCACCGCTGATCACCCTCCTAACTTCACCTGCTCACCACCTGTTTTTTGTTTTGCCTCAACCAACCCAGACGCCCACTTCACCAAATGCACGCCACAGCCAACGTGCGCTAGCGAGCCCTTCCAAAGACGCACCTGTTTTGTGCCTGCCTTTTGCGCACAGCAGCAGGCAACCCCCCATTTTCTGTGTTAATGTCGATGGCGGTTTGTTGGTTGACGACGGTGGTAGATTTTGTTGATTTTTGTTTTTCATTTATTTTATTTTTTTTATAAATAAAAAAAGGTAGATTTAAAAAAAAAAAAAAAAAGGCTGGGTGGTGATAGTGGCTGGGTGTCAGTGGTGGCAATGGCTAGGTGGCGGTAGTGGCTAGGCGGTGGTGGTGGTAGTGACTGTGGCTGGGTGGTCGGAGATGGGGATGATGTGAAGCTGAAGAAGAGGGTGTCATTAAAATAAATTTGAAAGTAAGATAATTATTTTCTAATTCTACTAATGAGGGGGTTACAAAATAATTTATTAATTTGTTTTTTAAGGGTAGGATGGTAATAGCATCTTCTGCATCTAGGTTAGAACTAAAAATAATTAACAGAGTTACTTTAAGGGTGAGTATCTGGAATAAATGAAACTAGGGGTAAAAACTTGAGATTTTGCTAAACTTTGGGTGGGAATAAGTCGTTTACTCATAAATAAATAATTAACTTATTCATCCAATGAGCTGGCAATTTATATAAATTAAATAGAGGAAAGTGCTGATTTTGATAATTTTGTCTTAGTACGTAGAAGTGGTTGGATAATGTGAGTATTTTACTATATTGCCCTTGAAGAAAGTAAACTCTGAAACGTGTGTGACTATGTATCTATATAAAAGGAAGCCAAACCAATTTGCCCATAATTTGAGTTATATATAGAGGTATGCAAGTTCAACTTTTCTTCTCTATTTTCTTATAGTTAGATTATGTTATTTTGAAATTAATCAAACATTTTTGTTGTAATTTTTGAAAAAGGTGCAAGGAGAGATGGAAATGGACTTATCAGCAAAGTTTCCAAAAACCATTTTTGAGGGAGAAGGAGGATCATACAGCAGTTGGTCAAGTAGTGAATTTTCTTTGCTTGCTGAGGTCAAAGTTGGTGGTGGTTTGCTTGTTCTTAAGCCTGGAGGATTTGCTCTTCCCCATTATGCTGATTCCAAGAAGCTAGGTTATGTTCTTCAAGGTAAATATGGCTTTTTTTTATTTTTCTCTTCTTCTTCTTCTTCTTTTGGTCTTTTGGTTTAATGTTGTTGTTAAAGAATTGAATAATTTTCTAATGACCAATTTTTATTAAGGAGGAGAATCTATATTTTTATGTCATGTAATATAAATATTGAGAAAATTATTTAATTTTGTTCAATATGAAAGATGGAAGGTCAAGATCAAACGCTATCCCTTGAAGTAGAGTTCACAGACACACATTGACACAAAATTGAGAAAGAAAGAAATTCTCGATTGATTTCAGATACTGTAATAGAATACAGTGATAATGGCGGGATGGTTGTTATAAAACCATATAGCCGTAGGGAGACGTTGCCGTTTTGGTACAATAAAAATAGTCCTTAAACTTTATATTTTTAACAGTTTAACCCTCTGAACGGAAAAATGAAATCCTGTGTCGCTGCTTAACAGCATTCAACAGTCAACACAATATATATATATATATATATTATCATAATTTTAGAAACGATTTTTTTATACCATTTTTTAATCTTCAGCAGAATAAAAGATTTTATTGTTTTATTACATGCAATATTGATTTTGTGCTGAAATTATTAGGATATATATGAAATAAAAATAAAAATTTTAAATTTTAGTAGTCTATTTACTTAATAAATAAGTGATGTAAGCATTTTTTTGTTTCAAATCACCTCATCCAAACCTAAAGTAAAATAACAAAAGTTTATGGACACCCATAAGGTTTGATGAAATGATGATATCACCATGTGGCTTCAAAACTTAATGGGTATTATCAATTAGTTTGAAAGACTGAAAAAAAAAATACAAAATAAGAGTTTGAAAGTCAAATATAATAAATATTTTATTGTATTAAGAGTATAGAACCAGGCTCATAAAATTCCTAAGTAGATCTTGACCTGACTTCATGTACTTCTCTTATAAATTTTTAGTATTATCTTATTTTTACAGGTGAACATGGATCAGTTGGATTGACATTATCCAATCATGAAGCAAATTCAAAAGAAGAGATAGTCTTAGGCCTCCAAGCAGGCGATGTGATTCCTGTGCCCCTTGGTGCAGTTTCATGGTGGTACAATGATGGAAATTCAGATGTGGTCATATTATTTTTGGGTGAAACATCTACTACCTATGTTCCTGGTGAATTCTCTTACTTCTTGTTAACAGGAGCCCTAGGTAGCCTGGGAGGATTCTCCTCTGATTTCATTAGTAAATCCTATAATATAAGCGAAACCGACGCGAAAATGCTAGTGCAAAATCCAAACCGTACCTTCTTGTCAAGTAAGGTCCTGAAGAAGGCACAAACTTCGCATTGCTCACAAATGCTAACAAATGGGTTAAGAACATTGCTAATTTTTGCCCGATATCAGTGTCAAGAAGGCGGTATAGCTACTTCATTTACAGGGGTCAACTTCCCTTTTCTGAAGAGTTGGGCTAAGTTGCAATCTTGTAAAACTTGAAGCAAATGCCATGCTTTCACCATGTTAACATTGGTTCCATAGTTCAGGTACTTTATGTTGCCAAAGGAAGTGGTAAGGTTCAAATTGTGGGAATGAATGGTAAGCGTGCCCTGGACAGCAACTTGTTGCTGGTCAACTTCTCATTGTCCCAAGTTTTTTCGTGTTTTCTATAATTGCAGATGACGAAGGAATAGAGGTTTTTCAATCAAGACAAGTACCGGTGAGAAATAATACTCTTATGCCTTGATCTTGAATTATAAAAGATTGTGTCAAAGTCATAAACTTTTTTTAATTAATTTTTTTTGTAATGTTTTGTATAAATTGTTAACATTATATTCTTTTGATTGTAATTTTGTTTACAGGCCTAATGTTGGAGAATTAGCTGGTAACATCAGTGCTGAATGTGTACGAGTCCACAATTCTAAAATCTGCTCTGAATGTGACTCCAGAGTTTGCAAATTCTTTCAAGGAAAGATGGCCGAGAGCGAAATTCTTATCCCTCCAATGATTAAAAGACTACTTGATAAGATTGAGTATTATCTCATGACTAAAGCTTCTATGTTTAATTAAATAAGGTTGTAATATCAAACATTTTTATGTGTTTAATTTATAATAATGATCACTTTAATAGTTATATATCTGTCTTACGAACTATTTTTATTTTGAAGAAAATTATTTTGTATTAATAAAATATATAATAAGTAAAATTTTATTAAATCATAGTTGGTTAATAGAAAAACACTACTGGACATTTTTAAGTGTATTTATTGGATTTTGCATAACTCGATCGGATAACTTTTTTTTTTTTTTTTTTTAACATATTACATAGTTTATTATTAGATTACATAGTTTTATTAGAAATGTTTTAGGTATAAATTGAATATTTAAAAAACTTTATATAGGTCGTTATTCTTGAAGAATGGTAGTGACATTATTGCAATTTGGGACGATTGAAACTTGTGTTAAAGCACTAGATTTTGAAGAAAGTTTCCTCTTACGGGGCGTTTGGTTGAAGGTTATAGGGGATTATTGTGGTAATGTCATCTTATAATCCTTGACTATCATGTTTAGTTGTCAATTAATATAAATCCGGTAATCTTTAAATACCAATAGTAATTACTATTGGTAATATGGAGGTAATCTGATTACCTCTATTTTCTTAGGTATTATGAGATTACAGGGTTTCTTTTTTGTTACAATTTTATCCCTTATTAATAAAAATTGGACATAATACCCCTACTTTAAAACAAATTTACATTAATATCCTATTTCAAGTTTACCCCTATTTATTTAAATTTTGGACAATAATACCCTTATATTTAAAATAATTTACCACCACACTGTCACCCAACCACCACCACCCAACCACTACCACCGACAGCGCCAACCACCATGGGCGCTCGCGGAAAATCACTGGAGTCCCTAAAAAAGAAAGAGACTCGGTGGGAGACCCGGAGGCTTCGATATGGTCGTTTCCAGCCATATTGATGGCCGAAAACGCCATATCGCCAGATCGGACGAAATGGCCAAATCTAGCCGAATGGCCAAATCTATTATGGCTATTTTCTGGCCAAATCTGAGACGAGATATGTCGGATAGATCTGGCCTGATATGGCCGTTTTCGGCCATCAATATGGCCGAAAACGGCCATATCGAAGCCCTTGGTCACGGCCAGCTGCTGATGGGGACTTTCAGATTCCGGCTTGGTCTACGTGGCGCAGGCGACGGCAGGTGGTGGGGGTGATTTCGTAATAAATTAAAGTTTTAATAACAGGCATGTTTTAACTAAATCTGAAATATTGGGGTTAAAAGAATTATTCAACAATATTAAAAAAAAATATATTATATAATATTTGAAAATGGACATTTGAATATTTAATAACATACCCACTAATTTATTCCCATAACCAAACATATTAATATAACATACCCACCAACTAACCAATATATTTTTCTAAAAATTTCCAGTAATCTTTCAAAATAATTTATCTTTTAGTGATCCAATATTCCTAATAATCTAACATTACTGAATCAAACGTTCCTTAGAATTACATCCTATTTCAATCACGTAATCGCATCTCTATCCAACTTCTAGACCGCACGCTGCCCAAAAGTATACGTCAGAAACACGATGAAAGAGTGGAGAGTCCCATTTAGGCATTTACACACATACTCAAGTGTCTTTTAGCTTAGACACACGCACATGGCTTTCTGTGCCTAATATTAGTGGCTGTTAATAAGGAAAAAAGAAAAAAGGAAACGAAAGTAATAGCCATACGTTATGACTTGTATAACTCGATACAAGATATTTTAGAGTTTGGACAAAGTTTGTAGAAGATAATTGAGTAATTTTTCTATAATTAATTTTAGCGCTGACAAAAAAATATATGATATTAATTTATATATCATTTAAACATTGATGAAATATATGAATTATTCCATTCCTATTATGTTAAGATATAATTTTTTTTTCTTTATTATTAAATTGTATATTATTTGTAATATTTTATATCCTTATATAATTCCACAGGTTTGTATAAATAGGTTATATATCATATCAAATTACTAACTCATACATTAAATTGAATTTCTGCCATACTTTAGCTCTTTTCAATTATCTCTTTTGTCCTCTCAATTCTTATCCATCATTATCATATCAATTGTATAAGTTGGATTTCCACTTTTATGTGTAGATATAATATAATTGTAAATTATTGTACGGTAATATTTTGAAGAATTGAATCTTGGATTGACGCATTCCATTTGTGGAAGTCTTCCTGTTAGAAATACAGTATATAATTCAATCCGTAATAGCATTTTCTATCCAACTTCTAAGGTCCACTTTGACCAAATAAAACAATGCATAAATGTCAAAAATAAGAAACACGACGATTGGAGAGTCCCGTCTTCACATGTACTGTTTAAATGTCTTTTAGCTTCCGAAACAAATCCATATATAAATATTATGCTCTTTCAAACTAAGTGTTTTATTTAAAAATAAATAATTTGAGGGGACAAAAATCTCAAGTTTGAATAAAATCGAATATTTGATTCGCAAATTAATAAAATAAAAGGAAATAATTTCATGACCACACATTATATGATGACTTACAATATAGAAGTTGCAGAAGCTACAAAGTTAACCATCCAATTGTAGAATGGGAGATCGTTGTGTTTTTGAGGGCAAGACTGTAACTTCCACTTGGTGAATTTTGGCATCAACATAAGTGATCAGTCATAACTCATAAAATTTAAAAAGTGATTAATCGCTCTTTGAATATATAGATTAAATATTTTAAATATCAATAGACTTCGAAAATTTTCGACCTTAGCCAAATTTTGATTCCTTAAAAAGTACTGATTAATACAACTATTGCGATGTAGTTAGTGTTGTGTTAAGACAAATGAACACGGGCACATGTGTTAAAATTCAAGTAAATTGATATATTAGAATATCCTATATTCATATGAAGGTGAGATTGATTTCACATTTTTCTAGACCAAAATGGTCGAGATTCTTCAAGTCCTAAGATAAGGAGTATGTGAATGTTATACGTCGCTATAGAACTAGCACGATAGATAGGGTTTAGGGTTTCGATACTCGCCCCAATTCACCAAACCAAAACTGGTTGGTTCCTTGGATTGGACGGGAACTGGAATTAGCCAATTCCGATTCTTAATTCCTGGAATCGAAACCTAGAACACATTTTTGATTCTCATTTCAGGTACCAAGGAAAATAATATTACCCCCCAACTTTTTTGAAATTTGAAAAGATACTCTGTGAAAATGCAAATACACCCCAAAATTAAAATTCAAATAATTTTTTTTTCTCTTCCTCCCCACTAATTCCTCTCATTTTCCCCCTTCTCTCTTTGCTCTGTCTTTTCCTTTTTCCTTCTCCCTCTCTTTCTCATAGAAACCTAGATCTTAATTATAAGGGGTCGACCACAAGCAAATTGCTGGTGGTGACAAGGTGGCCAATACTCAAGCTGTCGTAACCTTGCTAACTGTGGGTAGCAACAAGCTTACTAGAAAGGTTGTATAAAGGTCGGGAAGTCAATTCAATTAGTTATGGTTTCTGATTTTGCTTATTTGGGTGAAACTGTTGGAAGGTTGTATGGTTGATTTTGCTGGTTTGGGTGTATTTTGTTTGCAGGTGTAATTTTCCCAATTCATCTCTTTCAAAACTCTAGAAAAAAGAGAAAAAAAAAAATTTGATGGGTTCTGTTATTTTGGTTGTTGCTAACCGTGGTGATCAAAGATTTCAGAAGATTTTTTTTTGTGATTTGATTTTCTTTTCTTTTGATTTGGTTTGTGATTAAGAGATCTGGATTTTTGTACTGTGGTTTGGTTTGTGATTTAATTTGGTAATGCATGTTCCTACTTGGATACACCGAATCTCGGTTCCAATTCTAGTTCTTGGTTCTTGCAGTGGTGGAATCGGAACCGGAACTGTATAATGTTGTTTCCAGCTTTTGAGATCGGAATCGACTCTATGACAATGTTTCTGGGTAGGAATCGAACCGACTCCTAGATATCCGCCGTTCCAGTTCTACACTAAGTTTTTGTCCCCCCTAGATGAAATGTGTAGTGAGACCAGCTGCACACACCCCCAAATTATATGAATTTACAAAGGAGAAAATGTCCCCGATGTTCAACTTGCTACGTGTATTTGTTCATTTCAAAATTTCTAAAGAACGCCCTTCCATTCTCACAAACCATTTTATGTAATGAGACATGCGGTCAATTTCGTGACCAGTTTAAATTGGCTTATATTAATGGGCGCAGGACTGTCTATAAATAATGTTGGTTCTTTATGAAGTTTGTGGTCATAACCAAAGGTATATACGAATGAGAAATAAGTGATAGCCAAATCCTTTTAACTTTCCTACAATCTTTCATTTTTTTAATTAGCCGTCTTAGTTTAAGTTTCTTTCAATTAAAGATTAATATATATTATATATATATCCATATTATACAGTAAAACCTCTCTATAGTGATATCCTGTATAGGAATAAACTTTAAATAATTATAAAAAAATTTATTCCTAATTCGGGATAATTATAAATAAAAATAAACTCCACATTGTAATAAGTTATAATTATTCTAATTCTCGTCTTAAGGAAAGTTGCCTCCACATAGTAATAATTATCTATATATTGCAAAAAATATGCTATGTTGCATTAAGGGTTTAAGATGAAATAAAATATTTATCTAAAGTTATTTAAGACAATGATTTATGTTTTAAAGTTATTACCACATTTTTCAACTTGCAAGTACATTACTCCAAACTATTTCTAGTTTTTCAAGCATGTTTAGAGCTTCTTGACACGAAACTTTTTGTATTTCCGTACTATCATCCTCATGATTATTTCATTTCTCTTATTGTCTAATTGTAGCAATGATTTCTTTTTCAGTTAAAGCATACATGACTTGTTGCTCATTTAGATGATTGAGAAAGACATAATATCTATTCGATTAGTGTAATGACGTTGTCAAATCTGATCACTCAATTCTACAATGACTCTTTGATTCTCTTTATCCACTTCATTTGTAACTTGCAATTCAT